ATCCTGTCCAGGTCCCCATCTCCACTCCTCCGAGTGTCCTGCTCCGGCCACCCCCTTCTCTTCCTGTTCACAGAAATGGGCTTTGCCCTGTGCACACCCCTTTTGTATGGCTTCCAGCTGAACAGTCCCTTAGATCATTTTCTGTTAGCCTTCTGTGCACGTGTTCAACTTTTAGACTATTGTTTCACATTTAGTTTTTCCCAATTATAGTTTTTTCCCCCTTAACTACATCGAAACATTGAAGGCTGGGGGAGATTGAAGATGAAAAGTTGAAGCTAAATATATGAATTATATTTAAAAATGTGTACCCCAAACTAACAACAAAAACATAAATATGGAAGAGTGTTAGCAAGTATTAAATATAAGTGATGAGTATTTGGATATTATTTTTTCTGTACTTCTGCATTAAACATTTTTTGTGATAAATGGTCACACAGTAAAAATACATATTCATATATATACACGCTTTGAGGAGAAGGAGGCTGATGCATTATTAATTTCTATTAAGCTTAGAAAGTCCACAAATGCTTGACATTAATTTTCATGCCTTGTTTTTCTAAACTATTTAATAATAAACAAAAAACAGTTAAAAACCATCATCTATCACACACGTAAAGTCAGTGATAAAATGAAACAAATCAATAGGAAAAATTATTGAATACATATAATAAATCTGATTAAAAATAAAATGAAAATAAATACATCCTCTGATGTCACTTGTGTAAGACTGGATGCTACAGGGCGAGGCACACTGCTTAGAACTGGCCCATCTTCTCGATCGTTTCCTGGACTGACCACCAGGGGCTGCTGAAGAGCAGCAGTTCCAGGGGAACAAGGCAGCAAAGAGCAGAATCATTCAACTTGACCCTGAGAAGTGCGAGTCCCCGAGAGTCACACTTATTACTACACCACCTGGAGGTCTGGGCTCACGGATTTCAGCAAAGCTGTCGGGCCTGTGGTGAGGACCATGCCTCGCTGGGAACCAGCACAAGCGTGAGGCTGGTGTTGGCACCTAAATGTGGCATCTTAGCATCCCCGGACGCTGGGCTCAGGCTGTACCACAGCTGACGACTTTCACAGCCACTATGCCAGGAGCTGTGAAGCCTGGGCAGAAATGGAAGATTCTTATCTAGGCTCTTAATTCCTTTTTCTAGTGCCTTCCCATGCTTAATGGCATCGGCACCTTCTGGAAAAAAATATACAGCAGCAGCTGAACAGCTGGACTAGAAAATTACTTCTATTCTTAAAGTACACCTCAAACCAAATCCTTTATATATAATGAAATAAGAGGAGTCTGTGCTGTGTTTTAGCTTTACATTCCTCTTATATGTCTTATCCACTCCGCTTGAAAGTAGAACATCTGCCAGATTTCCTTGTACTCAAAAAGAATGTTTTATTGAATGTTTATTCAGAGTACCTTTGCCCATGCATTCACTGCATCCTCACGATAACTCTGTGGAGCGTTATTACCAATCCTATTTGAAACTGAGGCAACTGAGACTCAAAGACAACTGGTCAGAGGTGACTCAGCAGCAGGAGGCGGAGCGGGGCAAGGGTACTGCCCCACTGGTAATGCTGATGAGGCTCAAAGGGGGGCAGTAACTTACTCAGAGTCTCATGCGAGACGGAGGCGGAGGTGGACTGACTCCTGGCTGGCATGGCACTCTCTCTCCACCATGCCCCCTGCTTTGCAGATGAACATGCTACAGCAGAGAAAAGATAATCTGTAGAGTTCCAGCAGGGTCTTCTAAGCAGAAGAGCAGAGATTCTGCCTTTTCAGGCTGGCTACGGAGGGCATGCTCTGCACAGCCAGCAGGCTTGGCTGTGACCATTTCTCACATATAGTAAGAATGCACGGGCTTCCCACAAGAGTGACGTGGAGCATCTCCGATCACGAGGCCTTGTACTGGGGGCTCCACCATCGGAAGTTCCCAGGCTGCTTGGCTTCTGTTTCCCCTGGTGTTCTACTCATGTCACACCTCCTGCTCTGGTTCGATATCACTGGCAAACTCTCAAATCAATCATCTTAAACCACATGCCAGCCTGAGTGGAAGCACTTATGTTCAATTACAGACTTAAAGAAAAGTCAAATTTTTCTTCTGGGGTTTGTGTAGAGAGAAAGTTGAGATCAGAAGGACAGAGGAATCAACACTGTGTGCGGGAGGTGAAATGCCATGGTCATTTGGGAGGACTGCCCGGTTGTGATTTACCGAAAAGACAATGAAACTCATGCCCACCACCCACCTTGCTGAAATGTCATGCCTAGAGCAGCTCCAGTCAGTAGGGAGCTCTGATGGAGGTGCCTGCAAATCACCGGCTGGCCCTTTTAGGCCTCTGATTTAAGAGCCATGTGTATACTGCAGAGAAGTAAAACTTGTCCACGGGTCAACAGGAATTTTCCTGGGGCACAGAAATACATCACTACAGGGAACCTACCCGCACCTTCAATTCAAGAACTCTCTTCTCTGCCACGATGCCATAAAAGGGGTTCGAAAGTCCCCACTTGCAAACACAGTGCACGTTACCAATATGTTAAGTCGATGTCTGCTGATGTATCTACCCACGTGACATATTTATCAAGGATTTGTTACGACACTGTGGATGATGTGTGGAAGGGGTAACCCCAGAGCGGGCAGAGTAACAATGTAAATGTTCTCATCAAACTGCAATCAACAACCCTGCTTTCCTCTCTTTATTAAAGACTCGACAGTCAGTGGAAAATATACATCCAACTAAAGAACAAATAAAATGCCACTCTTTCTATAATAAGAAAAATGTTCAGTATTTACCATGGCAAGTCCAGCCCCTTGGGCACCTCAAAAATGTGTTTGTAATTTTAATTCTTACCAGGGTGGGAACACAGCCACCTCACTTGTTCAAGGTTGACACCAATGGTTCCTCTGGTACTAGACCAGAAAGGAAGATGTAAAATCCAAACTGGTCATTTATTACTAGTGTTGACATTTTTTTTTTGGTTATAACTTGAATTTATTTATTTATTTTTTAACTGAAGTGTAGTTGATTGACAGTGTTCCAGGTGTACAGCAAAGTGATTCCGTTACACACATATATATATTCTTTTTCACTCTTTCCCTTTAGAGGTCATTACAAGATACTGACTATAGTTCCCTGTGCTCTACAGTAGGTCCTTGTTGTTTATCTATTTTAGGTACAGTAGTGTGTATCTGTTAATTCCAAATCTCTAATTTATCCCTATTTCCCCTTTCTCTCTTAGTAATCATAGGTTTTTCTGTTTGTGAGTCTGTTTCTGTTTTGTAAATAATATTGTATTATAGTTTTTAGATTCCACATATAAGTGATATCAAATGATATTTATCTTTCTGTCTGACTTACTTCACTTAGAATGTCCATCCATGTTGCTGCAAATGGCATTATTTCATTCTTTTTCATGGTTGAGTGGTACTCCATTTTATATATATACCACATTCTCTTTATCCATTTAACTATCAATAGACATTTAGGTTGCTTCCATGTCTTGGCTACTGTAAACAGTGCTGCTGTGAACACTGGGGTGCATGCTATCTTTTCAAATTAGAGCTTTTGCCTTTTCTGCAAATATGCCCAGGAAAGAAATTGCTGGATCATATGATAACTCTATTTTTAGTTTTTTGAGGACTCCATACTGTTTTCCATAGTGACTGTACCAATTTACATTCCTACCAACAGTGTAGGAGGGCTCCCTTTTCTCCACACCCTCTCTAGCATTTATTGTTTGTAGACTTTTTGATGATGGCCATTTTGACTGGTGTGAGGTGATGCCTCAATGTAGTTTTGATCTGCATTTCTCTAATAATTGGTGCTGTTGTGCCTGTTGGCCATCTGAATGTCTTCTTTGGAGAAATGTCTGTTTAGGTCTTCTGCCAGATTAACATTTTGATTAGGGAAGAGGCTGAAACTATTGGTAAAATCTGAAATCTATTTGTCTTGTTTTTCACCACAACAATAATTTGGTAATTAGCTCTTTGGGCTAAAAGCTTTAAGCAAAAAAGGGAACAGCAACAGAACCAGACAGCTCAGGCCTCTATTCTGGGGGCGGGGGAGTCTGTAGGGTAACATAAAAGGCAGAGGGTCCTCCACACTTTAAGGTTCAGATGATAAAGAAAATGAGTGGACATGCTGCAGCGGACATCCTCTGACTTTCTTCTTTAGCCAGAAATGTAGTTAATCTCCTTAGTTGGGGAGCATTTATATAGCATTTCACTTCCTCCCATTTACAGATACCAGATGCATGAAACTCGAAATGCCTTACGGGTTATTAATATGCTCATTCATAATATTTAAGCCTCAAAGGTAAGTGTTCTTGTTCTCCGCTGGACACACCCGATGACCTCGCGGTGGAGCGCAAACGCACAAAGTCAGGCGCCAGGGCTCCACCAGCCTCCCTCCCGCGGCGAGAGGCGGGCAGGCTGAGCTCCACCACAGACAGTGATAGATGCGGCGTCAGGAGCCTCTGGCACTCGGGCTGAGAGGATGCCAAGACTCGCCGCGTTTTCAGAAGACCGAGGAAGCCCAGGCGCCCAGACCCCACGTGCTGCCCCCTGGGGCTGAGGGTGGCCCTGCGGTCACCCAGGCCTGGCACCTTCTACGACCCATCAGCAGCCAAAGTGGACCAGCACTGCGGCCCTGTCTCCCTTAGGGCTGAAAGGGCAGAAATTTCAGAACCTGGCCATCTGAGGTCTAAAACGCAGCAAGCAGTCACATGCTCCACTCGCTTCCAAGACCTCCCCTGCAGAACGTTCATTTCTACCTTTTCCTGTCTTTTTTACATCGTGTTCCCTTTTAGGATCAAGGTTCTGAATCATTCTTCCCAGACCAACGTCTGTCACGCGCACGTCTACCCCGGGCTCCCGAGTCGCCACACGGTGCGCTCGGAGGTGCCGTCCGACCCGAGAATCCAACCGGTTCTCCAGCCCCAGCCCCACGCCAGGACGCACACACGCGCGGGCAGCCC